ATAAGTGTGAGAGCTGCGAATGTTCATATGACCATTTTAATAAGTTTAGCAACTGGGCCTGGTTGAAAAGTGCACCATGCAAAGAAACTGAGATTGTATCTGTTACTTGCAACAATGAGTGGCAGGCAGTTAAAAGAGGCAAGGGAAGACAATGCCGTTCCTGGATATTCATGCTCAACCGCCCCCCTCTTCCTATCCCTATTCTGACCATTTGAGCAGGCTCCCACAGCAGGCTGTTCCTGGAGAATCTTGCATCTTCCCAGACCTATTAACAAAACATTGACCCTCAGAAAGAGCCATTAAATGGTAATGAAGATGTTTAACAGGCATGGTCAATCTAGGTATATACTATCAGTTTTTGAATTTACTGACAAAAATAACGAGGAGTCCTGTGGCACCTTATAGACTAACTGAAGTGTAGGAGCATAAGCTTTCGTGGGCAAAGACCCACTTCGTCAGATGCATCTGACGAAGTGGGTCTTTGCCCACGAAAGCTTATGCTCCTACACTTCAGTTAGTCTATAAGGTGCCACAGGACTCCTCGTCGCTTTTGCAGATTCAGACTAACACTTATGCTCCTACACTTCAGTTAGTCTATAAGGTGCCACAGGACTCCTCGTTGCTTTTGCAGATTCAGACTAACACGGCTACCCCTCTGATACCTGACAAAAATAGTTGTGCTTTACTGTACTATGTCTACAGAATATTAGTTTAAAATTTGCTTCAAATATTTCATTAGTTTGTGGCTGAAGATTATAAAATCACATATCTAAAATCACATATCTAAACCCTTGCACAGATTTTTGGATGCACAAACTGAGTACATTGCTTAGATCTTCAGAGATAATTTTTAAATAAATTCTCCCAAAGCCTACCCTTATCTAAAATATACATATTAATGTTAATTATTAGAGCACGAAAACTCGCTTCTAAACTCTTCCTGTCCTTTCTGTCCATCCCTGTCTTCACAACAGGGCCCCTGTTGAAGAGAGCCCTTAAAGGGACAACATCCCTTTTCTTCCAGATAGCTGGACAAATGTTTCCCTTTCTTTACTTTTGATTGTTTGAGTAACTAATTTTAAAAGCAGCCTCCACCAAAATCATTACCATACAAACATAGGCAGTGCATAGTGGGTGTCGCCCCTCTCCCCCACACACACACTTGCCCCCGCTTGCTTCATTCACGCACCAGTATCAGGGAGGGCTCAGGCCCAGCAGTTCCAGCCCACATGGCACCGCTTCTCGCTGCTCTGGGGAGTGCTGAGAAGAGGCAGGTGGTAAGGAATGGAGCACAGGCAGGGCAAGAGCAGAGAGAGGTGGGGTGCGCAGCCCTCTTCCCCCCCCCATTCCCTTCCATGCATTGCCACTGGTTAGAAAGATATAAAATCTTTTGTTAGGCCTAAAATCTTTGGAAACATATTTTAATATTAACATATGGTGAAATTTCATACATATGTCTATTGTTATGGAAATCACACAAAATAAATTAGGGTTCCCTTTTTCTAAAAGCAGTGAACTTTGTTATGAACACACTAAATTGCTCTAACTGATTCATTTAGAATAAAGTCTGTTTCACTGCATTAAGTATGCAGCAATCTGAAACGAATACTTTATTCAGGCTTAAGAGTACACTTTAAAATTATCTTAGAAGTACTGATTAAGAAAATGTAAATCAGAAGAGGTACATCGTGTAGTCTATAATATTTAATCTTGTATTTATCAGGACAGCTTCCTACAAAGTTTTTGCAAATAAACCTGTGACAAACTTCAAGGTATTGTAAAAAATCTGTGATTGATGTTTTTTATTCCCAAATTTGGTGCTTTTAATTAGGTACCTTTTTCATGTCCAAGCTGGCATACAGTGGAAAACATGCTTCAAGGGGTGTTTTTTTCAAATGTCACTTACAGGTAACTGGCTGGAAGGGGTGAGCAGGAAAGGGGAGAGAAGACAAGAGG